TGATCTTGCTGTTTTATCTTTAATCTGGCCATCTGCTGTAAGGCTTTTAACCTTATTTTCGAATTCTAGAGAATAATGATACCAATTTAAAATTTGTTTTTGACCCGATTTAATTGCTTTATCAAATAAGTCAGGTAAACTTTGCACAGAACCTGGAGCCATATCCTCATCATTATTTGAATATAAAGGATTGATTTCGGAAGAAACAATATTTTCTGCTTGATCATAAGTCATCTCTTGTATTAAACCTCCTACGATTTGATTGTCTGATTCAAGTATTTCGAAGGTAGTATCAGAATTGTTAAGATCGTGACATTTTGTCACGGTTTTTGCATCACATAATGATAAGGATGTTATTGTCTTTTCAGATCCCGTTGAAGCATCCTGATTAACTAAAGATAGGTCCTGATCCTGAGAAGCGGAAGCTTCATTACTATGTAATAGCTTTTTTTCCATATTTCTCTGTCTTATCTCATTACTAACCCTTTTCTTATTTTCCGAATCTAAAAAGACATCAATTTCTGTATCTTCTAATGATTTGGATTTTCCGGAGCAAGTTTCATTAAGGTTAGATGTACTGGAAATTGTGTTTACTACCTGTTCTGAAGTGTCTGAAGTTACTAAGTCAGTGTTAGTCATGGATTGATCCGCTTCGTGGTGAGTTGAAGAATCCTTAATCTGCGCATTTTCACCATTTGAGCAACTCTTATTAGGTAATGGAGTGGAGTATTCCGAAGATTTTAAATCATCAGTAACTGTTCGATTTTGCTTTTCAATATTCTTAACAGCTCGTTTTAATCCTTCGATTTCAGCCTTGAGCTTAGTATTTTCTGTCTGACTTGACTTTGTGGTCTGTTCTAGTTCCATAATTCTAACCTCAAGCTTATTTTTTTCTTTTGCGATCTGTTCCAATTCTGCGATTCTAACCACAAGTCTGGCATTCTCTTGCTTCAATAAATCAATTTCGGATTGCATGTTTAACGATAACTTTTATACAATGCGAATTATTCAAATGTTATTTATTATCATAGATGATGATCAGAATTGCAACATGTAATTATTGAGATTAAAAATATGGTTTCATGTGCCGGGATCAAATTAATGACTCGTAATACACAAAGAAAATAAGATTTTTACATGTAAAGAAAATATATGTAACACCACTACCAATTATTCTCATTTACTATATTCATAATTCGTTTCTCTCATAATAAAATCAAAAATAATCTTTTTATCCCATTGCTACAAATTATTATGAAACCTATTATAATAATAATGCTATTGTATAATAAAAAGTTCATTTTGGTATATTAATTTTATTAAGTATCATCTAAAAAGAGTTCATCCATTTCATCTTCTGTTACAGGTATTAGATCATCATCTGGTAAGTCTATCCACTCCCGTAGTTCACTGGTATCATCAACCGAGGGTACAAAAGTACGAATTTTTTTTAAAAGTTTTTTCTGTTCATTGAGTTCATTCCTTATGATCATAAAAAAATTGAAAATTTTTGTATAACATCCAATTGCTTCAAATGAAAAGGGAATTACACAGGAGGCTAATTCAATAGCTAAGTATTTCTTCTTATCAACAAGTGATACGGAAAATAATGTTAATTTGTCCCCAATTGCCTGAATACTGTACGATTTAACTTTTTTTGCGTAATCAATCGGACAATCGAAGTTGTTTGCTAAGATTCTACAAAGGTTGCAAACCGCCATCATTAGCAATTTTTAATGTCACCGATCGTGTGTTTTTTATCCGCTTTAAAAGGTGGGCCGGAAACTTCAACATGTATGATTTCAGTTGCGTCAGAGAGCCTTATAAATAGGAGATCAGTCTTCCGAGACTTGACATTAATCGCAAACATGCTTCCCGCTTCCTTCACCGATTTAACGTCCTTCTCAATCCATTCGTATTTAACTTCAGGAAATGCATTTCTGAAAGATCGGAAAATAGGTGAAATAGATTCAACTATATACGTCCTTTCGGACATATCCCGATTCAATACCTTTGGTGACAAATTTTTAAACATCGCGATAAAATCGAGAAGGGCATGTCTAATGAAAAAAAGGAATTGTGATTCCTCAGTTTTTTCCATATTCTTTTCGCTTTCCGTCTCTGTTATTATTTTCAAAGTAATTTCCGCAAAATCTGCTTCGAAAATCGTTTCAAGCTTTTGCATTATTGGTTCTGATAAAATTAGTTTGTTTCGCATTTTAAGAAGCCTTTCAATCTTCTCAAATAATCTTTCTCGACAGATCCCTTGACCAAATATAATGTTGAGTTGAACGCGCAAATTATATGCGTAGAAATTAGATTATATGTTGTTTCCGATATGATTGGCCTATTTAGAGATATAATCGAAGAATCCGGATTGTTTGGCAGGGGGTCAAATGCTTGATGCTTGATAGATTTCAAAACAAAATAAAAATGAATGAGAATTGTATATTTTTTATTGCGCAAAAAAAAAGTAACAAGAATAATTACATGATGTGGATCTATGTCTGAGCTTGAAATTTCGGCATAGTTGATCTCTTTTTGTTCTCTGAAATCGTACCGTCTCACAAATTTTTCCTAAGGAAAGTTATAAAAAAACAACACATTCCCTGTTAAAAAAGGTATTTCAGATATATAGTTCATATAAAGATAACAAATGCCAAAATACCCGTGTCTCTTCGTTTTTTTCTTTATCATTTGGTTGTGTAATGTCATCTGTGGATAAAACAGAGGCAGAAGAATCTTCGGTGGTTTTAACCTGTGCAAGGCAAGAAAAGGTTTGAGAAGAACCCATGTAACTAATTATTATCTGCGAGTTGCATCTGTGCTAACCTTCTTAACTCTTTGAGAGATCGAAGAATCAACATTTTTATTTGCTTTATTGTCCTCGGAGCGTCTTTTTATAGGTCTTATTTCAAGAGCTTCTGGCATGTCAGAAGTCAATTCTTGGGCACCATGCATCCGTGCTTTATCTAGGACATCAATACTAGTCCTTACGTAATTACGTTGTACTGCTCTCTATATACAATAAAAGTAAATATCAATAAAAAAAATGCTAACTTCTATCAATGATAGAATACTTTAGGAAAGGCAAACTCTAACCTTTCTACGTTCATATATAATATCTTCAAAAAATAATTTCATATTTGGATGCGAATATTCCTATAAAGAAGAAAAAATAAAATGTAAAAGTATCGATAACAAACACTTTACAAAGTAAGGTTGATGAGGGGCACCGAAAATTTCAGCAAAACCTCTAAATCGTTCTATACAGTGTATAATAACAACCAGAAGCGCCCCTCATCATCACTTGGGCACCGAAAATTTCAGCAAAACCTCTAAATCGTTCTATAACATGTATAATAACAACCAGAAGCGCCCAAGAGCCCCCGGGTCGTTCTATGGACACATAATAACAACCAGAAGGCATAAAAAATTATATAAAAGGGTCTGATATACTTTTGTAAGAAAACTATACCTTATTACTCGGTGCCAGTTCAGTGAATCGTTTATACCATGTACCGTCCAGTCCACCCCAATCGTCAGTAAAGGGCTCAGTATATAAAATAACGTCCCTCATATTATAGAGAAAATTATGGTATGAAACATTGGTACTGTCCGTCTCAAAGTATTTAGCTATGTCTAAAATTTAAATGACAACGGTCAGATTTTGTAAATAAGAAAACAACAAATTTCGAATCTACCTTCATATCCTGGAAATGGTTTACTCATCGTTCGCGTTCGTTATACAGTTTTTTTTCGTGTCAAGATATTTTATGTTCGGATTTAGACACGTGATTTGATCTTCAAGAAAATCGTGACAAAATGTCACGATCAGGATTACGCGAATTATTTCGGAAAAATTATTGGTTATACGTTACACAAAAAATAACACATGATACGTGATTCGAAGAAGAGACAGTATCTCGAATCTCCGATTTATTGTCTAAAGACTTGTACATTCCTCTAATCAAAAATCTTTATTAATAAAATATGTGATAATAATACAGGATAGGGTGTAGCCCATTGCTCTGCAATAAAATACAAGATATATATATGGTAAAAATACGGGATAAAAATCTATCTAATTAATAATTAGGAGGAGGGGATGTCACCATTGAACTATCTAAATTTCTATTTGATCTGCGATCATGTGCACTGCGTAACAGAGACATAATGTATTGCGGAATAATAATAAAGTATATATAAAATCAGCTAAAATGGAAGGATCATTGGAATATCGAATAGGGA